TTACTCATAGATTCAGTCATTCTACGGCAAGCACACAAACAACACAGAAACATACACATGGCATATATAGACTACAGAAAAGCATTCGACAGTGTTCCACACAGTTGGCTGCTACATATTCTACACATGTACAAAATACATCCATCGTTCATTGCATTCTTCGAAAACACTATGCAGCACTGGAGAACAACACTACATCTCAGGGTTAGTAACACTTCCAAACAAACAAATGAAATATTCATTAGGCGATGAATTTTTCAAGGAGATTCCTTGAATCCTCTCTGGTTCTGCCTAGCCCTGAACCCATTATCCAACATGTTAAGCAACACGCAATATGGTTACAATATTAGACATGAAAAAAACAACACAGTTTATGCTATCATACCTTATGTACATGGATGACATAAAACTTTATGCATCCACACAGAAACAACTTCAACAGCTCCTACAAATCACACATTCATACACCAAGGACATACAAATGGAGTTTGGTTTAGACAAATGCAAAACACTTCACATAGAAAAAGGAGCCCTGAAGAAAGAAGATTTTGCACTTTTAAATGGGGACATTATCGAATCCATGGAAGAGGACGAGTTCTACAAGTATTTAGGATTCCAACAGGTCAAACTAACAGAACATACACAAATAAAGCAAAGATAAATTAAAAAATACCAAAATAGGTTAAATGCTATTCTCAGAACACAGTTAAATGCAAAACACACAGTTAAAGCAATAAACACATATGTCATCCCAGTACTCACTCTTTTGGAGTTATACATTGGACTCACACAGATCTCGAGCAACTCCAAAGGAAAACAAGAACAACACTTACTAAGCATAAACAACATCACCCTAAATCTGCCATAGAAAGATTAACACTTCCACATAAAGATGGTGGACGGTTTAAAATGGTCTGATTGACATTATAAACCTTCACTACAAACAAATACAGTCACTGAGAGAGTTTTTTTTACAGGAAATGAGAAACATCACAATTACATAAAGCAGTAACTCTAGCAGACTGAAATAGCACACCATTAAACTTACACTCTCATCATACAAACATGACACAACACACAAAAAGCATAGACACCATCAAGCAAACATGGGCTCAAAAGGGACTCCATAGCAGGCATCCTTATGACCTGGCCCAGGATTTTGTTGACAAAACTGCGTCAAACAGCTGGTTAGATCGGGGATGCCTCTTTGAGGAGACGAAAGGATTCATGATTGCCATACAGGATCAGGTCATAAATATTAAAAAGTACAGAAAACATATACTCAAAGATACAACACTAACAAATGACACATGCAGAAAATGTCACACCATGCCAGAAACTATACAACACATCACTTCTGGTTGCAAGCTCTTGGCACAGACAGATTATTTACACGGACACAATCAAGTAGCAAATATAATACACCAAGAGCTTGCAAAGAAACACAAACTGGTAGACATTCACAAACCATACTACAAATACATTCCACAGACAGTATTGGAAAACAACACGCACAAAATGTACTACAATAGAGCCATAATCACAGATAAAACAATTTACCACAACAGACCAGACATCACACTCATTGACAAACACAATATAATCGCATACATTATAGACATAGCCATTCCAAACACTCACAATGTACAAAACACATGCACTGAAAAAATTAGCAAGTACACAGAACTCACCCAGGAAATAAGGCATCTGTGGAGGATGGAAAGGGTGCTTATTGTACCTGTTGTTCTCTCCTGTACAGATGTGATACCACACACATTACACAAAAGCCTGGGAACATTACAATTGAGTAGAAATACATACATCACACTACAGAAGGCCACTATATTGAATACATGCCACATTGTTAGGAAATTCCTGAATACAGACACACACACTGACACACTTATTTAATTTTAGTTTTGTTTTGGTTGCTATGCCTTGACTTTGGTCCGGCATAGTACACAGCCACCGGTGTGAACCGAGTATAACTCACAAAACACAACAATAATAATAATAAAACAGGCTGTTTTCTCATCTAAAAAAAATTCCTTGTGGATCTCATCCATCCCTTCAACTGGATTTTGAATGTCAGGGAGGAAATGTTCCAGTTTATAAATTGGAAGCAACCAAATACAACCCAATGCATGCTCCATATTATAAACTGGAACATTTTCTTCCTGACATCAAAAATCTAGTTAAAGGAATTTTTTTTTAGATGGAAAACAGTCTCTACCCTTTACAACAATATCTTTCATCCTACTAATAAAATCTATTTGAACTTCTATCCAAATGGTTGTCCACCAACAATATTGTTGTTATTAAAGTCAATAAGCCCAGAGACATCATTCTTATGAAAATAATCATATAAACAGAGTGCATATGATAATATATCAATGACACAGTTTGTTTATTGAAGTGTTTACATTGCTGGATTTTTGCTGTGTTTATTCTTCTAAATTCTTCATACAATTACAATAATAGTTAAATAGCAGTAAATAGTTAAAAAGTATTTGCTGTTAGTGAATCAGGTTAAGATATACATAGAAAAATAATACATGATGACTGGATGGTGGGGTGATGGATGTCGCCACCTGCAGATATTATGTTTTTTTGTTATTTTCTCATATTTATGTTTTATAAATTTATTATTGTTTCAATACTCCATAATTTAATTTTATCTAGTTTTTTATACATTTTTTTCTACAACTGTAACCACTTAAATTATTAATAAATGTGTCTCATAACTCTCGTGAGAAAAGACGAGAACGTTTGATGAATGTTAGTTCGAAGCAAATTTTGTCTTGTCTCTTTTTAGCAGAAACGAGAAGCATAAACATAAAGATCATTTATTACATAACAACGACTTCTTAATGAGTTCTATAAATGAAAGCTTTCTATAAAAAAAACAAGTAAGATTATTATGCATTCCTGTAGTGACAATAAGACTTTGTAACAAAATTTACAGGTAATTACATGAATATTGATGGCATGTTACCTGAACAGGTCTCTGGTACATTTACTCTTTAAATACACCAATGACTTAAGATGTTCACATACTAATATAAGACTTCCTTGCTTGGGTATCAAAGCAGGCAAGCCAAAATTTGTGAAAAATTGTACTTATTTGCAATTAATTTAAAATTAAATGTTTACTTACATTAACCAAATTTATATAAAACACTTAAAAGTACCTCATCTTTCATCACTTGATGCTCATCCTTTACACCAGTCAAAATAGTTGGAGCTATATATTGGTCTTCATCTCTTGTTTTCCCTCCAATGGCAATATTTCCATCTTTTAAATACGATTGAACACGTCTAAAACAAATTATTATTGAATATTTCAACATTACTTAAGCCATTCCTTTACATGATCACAATTATGACTTACTTATAATTTCTATCATTGATAATTCTACCAATATCTGGAGAATCAATAGGATCACCTTCAAAGAATTCAGCCAAAACTTTTTTTGAAGATTTCAAAAATAAATCTTGCACTTCTTCATTACACAGTATGTAATCTGGAGCTACGCAAGTCTGCCCCAAACTTAATAATTTTCCCCAAATTATCCGCCGACAGGCCATATCCATATTTACAGAGTCATCCAAATATACTGGACTAAAAAATTAAAATAAGACAAATTTATTTAAGAAGTAAGATTAACCTAGCAATACATTTCATATGATAGTAGAGATAGATTCATATAACTTGGCCAGGCAGGGCACAGTACTCAATTTAGAGTTCTGGAAGTTTTATACTTAAGTAATGCACAGAGACCTCATCACACATTCAACAATCTCTTTCCTTCAATAAATAAATAGAATGGTTCCTGCTACTGTGCATTTTTACAGCCTGGATAAGATACATGACATGAGCTGTACATAAATGATCAAGACAATAGAAACAAATTAAAGAATATTTGCACATTTAGATAAAGATTGTCCATTTAATAGTAATTAATGCTATAAATCATTACTTTATTTAAATGTTCTTGTAATTGCTATTGTCATAATAATCATAAAATCATCTAAATAGCATCATAAAATAATGTATCCATATTGACATAGTGCGAGTGTGTGTATTCATATTAGGTTTGCACATTGCCATTAATCTAATAAAGATTATTTTAGCAAAATTCATTAAAAACATTAAGTTTAATCATTAATTAGATCATTTTTATTATGAATCTAAAACACTACACAATATTTCAGTTAAAGACAAATTATAGCCAATCTATCAGCTTTTTATTAGACCCTCTTTTAGCATGATGGTGCTCCAACTTTTCAATTGGCAAGCCAAATTGCACTCAAGTCATAGATGAGCAAACCACAAATATTTTGTATATTCTAAATATACAAAACATAGGCCTATTTCTATCATTTGTGAGTGATGTGTGAAATATATTCATAAGCTGAATTAATGTGTGCCAGTGGATGGATTTAGCCCCAGAGCCTGTAGTTTGGGCACCACTCTTATCACATTAAAAATCATAAACATAGATTAATCTTAACTTATAATTTTGTAAATTGTTTTCTGAAATCAACTTACAATAAATAAATTTAGTGTATAGAATACAGAACTGAATACAAGAAATCCTCATTAATTCAAAATTCAAGGGACGAAATAATCGTGACTTCAAATTATCTGAGATTTACATATTTCTGTACAATATGTTAAATGCCATGTAACTAATGTAATTTATTAAGCAATGGAATATGGCTGTGTATACAGAATTCTGTGTTTGTTAATAATAATAATATTATAAATAAACTACAGGTAAACAGAATATGTCCAGTGAGAACCTCACAGGTTGCCAGATAGGTTTTATAAAAAGTAAAGCATAATTCGAAATGTGACCCAATTTATTTTTAAAGTGGCCCAAAAAGTCACCCAAATGAATAGCTTAGAACCATACAAATGTCTCAATCTGCAACTTACAGCCCAATCTTGCAATCCCAAAAACCAGTCATATTTTATGAGGTAACAGAAAAAAGGGGTAGTCCATGGTTAAGGTGACACTCGAAATTGTGTTACTGTAAAAGCAAAGCCATATTGACAACCAGATTAGAGTTGTTCTTGGTGTATTGTTCTCTTCAAACTAAATGAACAAGTTATCATACGCATATCACTGTTCGAACAAAATTTTCACTTCAAATTTCAAAGTAGCTGTATTTCGAACTAACTGAATTCCTTAATGTGTAAATCTCTATATCCCTGGCTGAGACAAAAGTACACTTACAAACGAATGAATTTGAATTAACAAGGATTTCCTGTATACTTATGAAGTTTTAAAATTTAATCTCCCAGAAACAAAACTATAGATGGAAATACTTATGATTAAATTAGTCATTAAAAAATGTATGGTTTGGCACTTATAATGAACTGTTTTGAATGAGAAAAATAAGAAAAATGTGTCAAATCAAATGTATTTCTTATTGCATATATTTTTCAAATAGTATGATATTATAATATGATATTTAATACTTATACTGTTATATTACTTATAAGAAACATCACATTGCCATAATAAATATATAATATACAAAATCTGATCAAGAATCTAGAGATTTATTTTAAAGAGCACCCATATACTTAAGTATCAGACTTAAAAATTGCAAGGAAGAGAGAAACCCTCTAATGTTAAGCTAAATTTTAATTTTCTTCTGTGAAGTATCAATCTTTAACAGCATTATTAAGAATTACAAACAACATTCTGTGATTGTACAAAATGGTTAAGTTTATGGAGCATTACATATGCATCAAATTGTTCTTCAATTTCAGAAAAAACAGATGCAGAAACTATTAAAATGATCACGAGAACTTTAGAGAGAGAATGTTATAACATTTTCAATGATTTACATTAATACCTGGAAACTGTATAGGATTTGCTTAAACATATTGAAGATGAATAATTTTCTGAAAATCATTATGAATAATGATGATATGGTAATGAAAGCTGGATCTCTAGATATGACATTAAAACTAAACAAACATTGTTCAATTACAGCAGGCAGAACATTAAATTCAAATGTTCATTAAACTATAACAATTTGATGATGTAATGTTAAACAATTAGAAAACATTAATATTTAATAAGACACAGTAAAATCTCATTATTTCAATATCAGATAATTCGAAGTCAAGTCTAGTCTCTGGCCAAGAAAATAGGATTTTGCATACATCATAGTTCGAATAATTCAAAATGCATGTACAATGAAATTCAAAGTCATTATCTGGTCCAGTGACCAGCAAAAATATCATTTAATTCAAAATCTTCCATCATATTACGTGTTTATAAGAAAGTTTCCATGCCCAAGTGGTGGTTTTGGTTTCATCAATTATACATTGTTGATTTATTGGACATCTGTTCAAGATCATTTGGACACTGCACAAGGTTTCAATGAAAAGAAATTTTTTTTTTATTTTTATGAGGAAATCTGTTTGGCATTTAATTATTTTGGACACTTTTTGTAAAAATCTATTGTTTCAATAATGTCAATGCCCATTAAATATATGTGCATATTCACAATAGAATGTGTACTTAGCATTAGCTGTTAATAGAGCTTATTTTCCTCAGATCACACAATTTTCTCAAACTCAAGACGAAATTCACAGTAATTCTTATCAAAGCACTTAAGTTTCTTTTGTATGTTATTTTCAGATCTTACTTTGAATGTAATTTGGTTACGTTTTTGTTGTTTTCATTAAGTACACGCCAACTGACAGTTTTCTCAAAATAGCTTAAATTACTAAGTAATAATTCATAATATTAACGCATTTGTAACCAAACTGGTGAAATTAAATAAGATAATGTCATAATTTTATTCAAGAATTACAAAAAAATTCATTTAAAAAAAATTTGGATAATTCAAAGTGGTATTTTTGGTCCCTTGAGAACTTGAATGTTTTATATTTTGTAAATAATCAATGATGTGTGTGTTTTCAAGCAAATGTTATGATTTCAAAAATAATAATTAGAATGAATATTTTTTTTATTTCAATAACAAAAAAAATTAATAAAAAGTTTACAACTAATCAAATGTTTCTTCTTGTTATATATAAATGAACAGTATCAAATAAAATTTTTGAGGAAAAAAAGTTTATTTATAGACGGTTTATTAACAGTTAATATTACTACAAAATTTAGTGTGTTTTAATATTTAACATGTGATTTTCAAAGTAGATTTTAACTAGAAATAAAAAAAATCAAATACCTTTTTCCACCTAATTCTAATGTAACTGGAGTTAAATTTTTAGCCGCAGCTTGATATATAATTTTTCCAACAGCTGTGGATCCGGTAAAAAAGATATAATCAAACTTTTCCTTCAGTAGTTCAGTAGTTTCTGGAACACCACCTTTTACAACTTGATAACAATCCTTAAAAGAAATTAATGTAATTATTAAACAATTATAATTGCTCATCACTTAAATATTTAAACTTCATTGCAAGTACATTTTTTGTTATTTGATTCTCAATTAGTTTTTTTTTTATCAGAAGATCAAAAATTATTTAAACTTAATGGAATATAAACTTTATTTTGAAGATTTCATTGTAAATAAAGACCTGAAGATAAGATAATAAAGATTAAAAATATTAGGGACACTGCTGGACTCAAATATTTTCAAGCTTTACATGTACTTTTATGATACAGTAACATCATGTTCTAACAAATCTTTTCAGAATAGCATACTTTTAGATTTTCCCCAATCCAGCCTGGATAGGAACCCACAGAAAATATTTTAGTACAAACATATTCATAATTAACTTTAAGTTTAATGTCCTTTTTTCTGTCAGTTCCCCAGCAATAGAATTCCTACAATTTTCACAAAACACACTAATCAAAAGAGCATATTCACATTCCTCGTCACAATCAGCTTTCAATTCTGAAATGCGATGCATAGAGCATATAGCTAAACAACATGGCTATCACAATGTCTTATGCAAGATAAACAACAAGGTACTCCAACAACAATCCAACAACACCTCTCATTCCAATGATTCCCTGGTTAAGTACATACCAATCACATACAACCCGGCACTTAAGGCCATATACAACAAGATAGCCAAGAAAAAGAATGTCTGCTTGGCATTTAGGAGGTGCGCCACAATATTCGATTGGCTTAGGAACGGAAAAGACGCTCCAGACAGCAACAGACTTCCGGGAGTATACTCTGTGCCCATCATTGATCATAGAGACAACAGCAAAGTATTCTACATCGGGTCCACTAAACGCAACTTACTAACTAGAATCAAAGAACACAAAGCGGACACCCTACATCATAGAAACAACACTGCCTTAGCGGTATACTCCTCTGACCCAGAAATAGAGCCGCTATTTCCTCTAGCCAGAATTATTCACACCACGGGCCGCACTGAACACCTCAGATAGCTAGAGGCCATATACATTTGCCTTAACACTTCAGGAATAAGCACTGCATTAACTTCAAACAAGAAATGAAGATATCAACAGCATGGGAAGCCTTCCTCAATAAAACTCTAAAGTAACAACATACGGATAATGCGCAAGTCTACAATGACGCCATCGGTCACATGTGACAACGTTCCAAAAAATTTTCTAAAACAGCAGTTAATTCTGGAAATTCGAATTCATATAGGAAATTCCATAGCGCCTGAAGAAGAACCACATTAGGTTCGAAAACGTTTGCAAAGTCCTCTGTATTGGAGAAAAAGAATGCAGGTTACAGGCAGTGAAGTTGGGTAATTTATCTATTCTGGTGTTAAAATTTCTATATAATTTTCACTTCATTATAACAATTTTGTTACAACTTTATCTTCATTGCTATTATACTCTATACTATTATACTTCCTATTATACTCATATACTATTATATATTATACTCTATACTATTATACCCATATACTATTATACTTCCTCTAACTGGTAAACAATTGTATCCAAGAAAGATGGATGATCTTTGAACTAACTAATGAGTTGCAATTGTACTAAACTCAATAACAGCCACAACTTGTCACGGACACAGATATAAGGATGGCTATTTATACTTCTTAATTTTATTATTTATCTTATTCTTCACTTAAGACACAAGGGTAAGACAGCACGAAGGAATATCCGAAAAGAGAAGTGTCACAGAGTTCCTGCTATCAGAAACCAAAATGTAGAAAAAACATGATTTCAGCACAAATTAAACCAATGACTTCAGAACTAAATACATTAATACATTATCACATTGTTATTATAATAAGTAACATATATAAAACATCTTTGTTTCATATATGGATTTCTTACTTAGATATATAACTTGTTTAATAATAATTTAGATACACTTTTTCTTTACAACAAACTTTCATTTCAAATTAACAAACATTTTTGTAGGTCCCCTCAAGTTCTTCACAACAAGATTCCAGTGTTCTGATAAAACAGAATGTAGTCAGTTTATAAAAAAATAGGAAATTAGTATTAATCCTGTCAACCAATGCTATAAAATTTACCTGATGTAAATATTTTGGAAGTAATTCTTCTAATACTTCCGCAGCATTTTCTGATATTTCTGATGGTTTAATAACTGCACAGTTTCCAGCAGAAATTACTCCAACTAAAGGTACAAGTGATAACTGTACAGGATAATTCCAAGGTCCTATAATTAATACAACTCCAAATGGTTCAGAATGTATAAAACTGTCATCCATAAGCAGGACGAGATTCTTTTCAGTCTGAAAATAAAATAAAACAATTATAAAAAGTTTGAAATTATGAAAATTAAAATAATTTATTTTTTCATTTGAATAAGAAATTATTTAAAGAAAATAATTTAGATATTGCTTCAAAAAGATATACTTACAAACCATTAATGTTACATTTCTCTAATTTCCTGATTTTTAGAAAAATTTTCAGCTATTACTGAAGCATTTATTTCAAAATTATCAATATGTAAATTTTAAAATTTCATACAGGATTTCCCCACATAAAATTGGACCTCCTTAAATAATAAAGCATTTATTATGCAAGTTTCCAAAATATTTTGTGAATAAAACTAAATTTTCAAAGAGTTTCTTTAATTTTATTTTCATAAGTCTTATTTCTTTCCAATACAAAGATTACAATAATTTAGTCAATTGGTGAGTGGAGCCACCATTTGTTCATCTCTGAAACTGGCACTAAACCAAGTATGATACTACACCAAAGTACTAAGATAACAATTATATACAGTATGATATATGATAATGGTATGTGGTCTGTAACAAATCTGAGACCCACATAATTTGGTAATAAAAATATCATTTGCCATATAAAATTGTACATTTAGCAATTCACAGATACTGAAGTGTTCTTTAATATTTATGAAGAAGAAATATTTATAAGCTTCATTCATTGGCAATTTATAAGGTAGGAATATTTAGGTGCGCTAAGTTTAACTAAGGTTTGAATATATTTAATTTTATTCTTCACTTATCTAAACAAGAGTAGTTATAAATTAAGCTCCGTCTGTATGATAAATTACTATCACATATTATGATAATATTTTTAGGATTTTTATTGTGTCTTTTTCTAGTCTTTAAAATTTTATACATTAATTTAGTTCATTGAATATTCGTGCATTTACCAGTGTAGTAATTTTTATTCTGATCAGTAAACTGTTAAAAAAAACAAATTTTTTCTATTATAATTAAAAAAATAAGTATCACACTATAAATTAAGGATTAAATATCTAAATGCCAGATATTTTTGGTTTATTATTATTAAAATTTTTCCTAAATTAAACCAAAAAAGTCTGGCATTGGATGTTTAGTTATTTAGTTAATACAGTATTTGACTTTTTTTTATTTTTGACTTGCCTGTGCATGGGTATTCACAGAAAATTTTCCAGGAGGAGCAAAGCTTAGAGACAAATAGTTACACAGTAAATTTTTTATTTAATTAATTAATTTTTTGGTGTTTTTTTTCCACAAGTAGATTACAGAATACAGTACTGCCCCATTTGCCCCCTCTGTGAATGTCCATGTTCCTGTCAACACTAAGGTGGTCTTTTAATCGTATCCAATTGTAAGCTCACCAATTAGGGAGGAGTTTATTCTCTACTGTCAGAATGGACTAAAGTCAATTCGTATGTGAGTGGTGGTTTTAAGGAGGCAGGAAGAGACAAGTGTTTCACAAAGAAACCATTTATTTAGGTGACAATGCCACATAATTAGGTCAATATCCGGAAATCCAGAGTTTGGTTCATGTTGTCTTCAAAAGTTCTTTCCTCTCTCTTTTCACGTCGGCGAAGCCCTGGGGCATTGGCGAGTTGGTCTTCATTGGTGTCAAAATTAATTGCATAAAATGGCAAAGGATTCACAAGGAACTGGGGACATTGCATGCACCTGATGGTCTGTAGAGGATGACGTTCTTCTCTCCTTTTCAAGCTAGTTCTCATCAAAAACTCCTGAGTTGGTTCATCGCTTATTGGCTAGACCTTTTTCTCCTTGCTTCACAATTGGTCTCCCTCCTGTCTCCATGTGTAAATGGAGCTCCATTTAGGGCGCAGGAAAGGTCAGCTAGAGATGGTCTATTCAACACCATCTCTTAAACTCTAATCGCATTTTATCGATGACTATGACACCCACACTCATTGTAATATTTTTCTAGTTTTGTTTTACTTTCTAAACTGTGTCTTAAGTTTTAAATATTTTCCTTTTTAATTTTCTTTATCTAAAATTTTGTTTTTTCCACTATTCTTTAAGACATATATATATATAATTTGTTTTCTTGATGGTTTAACTTAAAGAAAAAAAAAAAAAAAAATGCAAACTTTGTTTTTTTTTTTTTTGCACTATTTCCGGGCCTCACACAATTATGAGTTTGGCCAGGCCTATAACGGGGATAGCCAGGTGATGAGGAATGGGGTCCAATATATATCTTCGAAACAGACCACCCATAAAAAAGTTTGATTGCAGGCAGTCAGTTGATCCCTTCACCACTTTAGTCATCCAGCCATCAAGTATTTAGGCTTTAGTAAATATATTCATGTACAAAATTGAGTATTTCATTAAGCTTATCGTCATTTTTTTAAAAAATAACCTTAAAGGCACTTCTAATACTTACTGATTGTGGTTTCACCCATTCAGTCAAGTTATAAATAGCACCTCGAATTTCATTTTTCAAATATTCCAACTCAGTAAGTCTAATTTCTATTTTAGACTAGAAAAAAAGACATTTATTAGTGTTTATATCATTAAAAAAAATCATTTATTAAATCATTAAATTTAGTACTTTTTTTAAATCTTTTTTAACAGCCTCTATTAACTTTTCTTCATTTTCTTCACAAAGTTTAAGAAGCAATTTGAGTTGCTGTAATCTAAATTTGATGGGTTTTGTCACACCACTAGCAAACGCCTTCTGAGCTGTCTGTAAAACCTGAAATTTAAAAAAAATTAATAGCAACTGACATACCTTAAAATACTCTGTTGGCATTTTAATATTCTTCTGTATTAAACCTGAAATATTAAATTTAATAATTTAATATAATTATTTTAAGTCAAAAATAGCATAAATGTAATGAAAAGCATTGCTTCGAATGTAATGAAAAGCATTGCTTAAGGTTTGACTAAATCATCAGGTAAGAATACTCATTAGAGGACCAATTAAGCCCATAAGTAAAACCATATTTTCTATGTAAGTATATTAAACAACCCAAAACCATATATATATATATGTATGTATAAATACATAGCCAAACAATTGCCTTAAATACTCAGGCTATAAATTCTCTGGCAGATTTATAGCCTGAGTATTTAAGGGTCCAATGAATTGTGTGGCTAACAAATGAGTGAAGGCCCTACAATATATAAGGCCATCTGCAATATTACTGCTATTAATTTTCACAATGTTGACTCCTTCCGTACAGCATGGAAGTTTTTCTTCAAACTATAAATATCTTATTATCCTCCCTTTCCCCTCTTCACACATATATGGCAATCCCCATTATTTCAGAAGCTGGGGGATTAGTTTGTCTGATAATGCCCAAAAAACAACTGCACAAATAAACTGGAACTATACATGAACAGAATAACACCTAAACACAGTGTTTGTTTAGATGTTATTCTGTTCCTGATGATGCCCATTCAACATGAATGAAAACATTAGCACTTATTAAAAAAATTGCTGGTTTTTAGGTTTTCTGACTGGTTTTAATAAAAATAGGTAACTAAGCAACCATCTTGTGCTGAGAATACTAATTAGAAACCAACTTTCAACTTTTAATTAAATAATTTAGAACATTTTGAAAAAAAAGATTGACCAAACGGCATAGAATTGCATTTTGGAAAATGACTCATTAGTCAAAGGACCATCATACTTTTCCCATTTTTTTACACTCTCATATCTCTTGCATTAGATTACTATATAAAGTATTTTGGCAACAATCTGTCATTACTTAAAATGATATTAACAGGATAACAAGTGGACAGGGCACAAATTATCCACAATTTGTGTTTCAGTTTAAAATTGTTCTGTGAATCGATAACTGAGAATAGATGATCTTTAGAGACTAACTCAACTTTTGATTATTGTGCAGAAGTTGTGAGCTCAAAAAACAAAAGAACCTTGGTATTTAAATTCTGAATTTTGGTATAAAAATCAAACTACATAAATAGCAAAAATAAATAGATTTTTTTTTATTAATTTCCAAACTTTTTAACAAACATTTTAATAAGAGTAAAATAAATATTTGTAGTTAAAAAAAAAAAAACTTTTGGAGTCGTCACAATTCATCCTTTTCACACTACAGGAAGGTTGACTCCATCGAGTGCCTTTCGCAAATGAGATCTAACCTGAACTAAAGCTTGGATGACCCTTTGGACAACTAATCTATGGCTTCAAGCAAATGGTTGACTATTGCAAACTATTGTTAATCATGTCAAAAGCCATTACTTAGACCTTGTTAAAGGAAACAAGGCCACAGCTTAAGTTTGAATTTTGTATCTTTAACTGGCCTATTGTATTAGCTTATTGTGAAAAGGATAAACTGAAAACTTCAAAATTTGTGTTTATCTTCAAATTACAAATACCTTTTTAGCAAATTTCCACCCCGATACTGAAGATCTACCAGATTTTTTATTGGGCTACATTAAGGCTGAGTAATAATCCAAAATAAAGCAATTTGAGAAATTTAATCCAAAACAAAATGAGAAATTTAATCCAAAACAAAATGAGAAATTTAATAATTATAAATAAATTAATGGTAGATTAACTGCCTACCTCTAACCAAATTGCTTTGTTTCCATGTCAATTAGCCATAATATAGCATGATAAAATAGGGCAATCATTTGGTATTAGTAACTTATCTGGTTATGTTACTCCATCCTCATTTTTATTGTTACACTTTTTAAACTACACTGACACCAAAAACTTAGTAATTTTACATATACAAGCAGAAAAAAAGCCTAAAATAGAAGATGGACTTTGCTGTGATCTTGTACACCTGTGATACAAAAAGGACCCAAAAGAAGACAACAAAATTTATCCTTGTCTTCTAAATATTTAACATCTTTCAATACATTTCCATCCTGCTTTTTATTGTTATACAACTAACCAATACACTAATTAAAAAGAAATGAAACTATTGTTATTTTTCATTTACAAATCCGTCATCTTTATTTCAATATAATTAATTCATTTTTCAAACAAATTTAAAGCTGCTGCTTTTGTTAATTCCAAATGAATAATAATATTCTATCTATTTATTAAAAGGAAAAGCTTTAGATAAGACAAAAATAATCATTATTTATTATCAAGTTCTGCCTTTTCTCTATGTATAATTAATGAGATTTTTGTATACGTATTCAACGTACACACATACACAGCAAGTCCATATTGAATACATTATGTAATTTGTAACTTTATTTGTAACTTTATATATACAATAGGAACACACACACACACACACACACACACATATATATATATATATATATATATATATATATAG